CACAGTAAGAGGAAGAAAAGCAGACCATGAGAAGAAAAGGACATGGAAGAAGCTCTCCATTGCAGACATTGTGATAAAACTGTATACACTTGAAACCTCAGATTTTTTTTCCTAGCGTTACCGGCTAGAAAGGTTGATGCTAACAAGGTTAGAGGTGGGCACTAGGACTCACTCTCCACAGTGCTCCCACCCAAGCTGAATTAGCAGCAGTGATGTGAAACAGGGAGGGAGGGGAGAGGGAAACCTAAGAAAGGCAAGGTTAAGAGCGTACATGAGCGTTGCAAGGCCACTCGGGGAAATTTATCTTCCACTCCTTTATTCCCTTTACTGCCACCTTCCCCACCTCTTCAGCTACTCCAGGGGCAGCAAAAGCCCTGCAAGAAAACCACCTCCAAATGACAGGCACCTGCTCAGCTGCCAAGAGACACTCCCTGTCCCTCTCCTCTGGCTCTCCCGGAGCCGCTTCTTACCGAAGGAGGGTGGCAGATGGCAACCATTTAACCGATCACTCCAGCTAGCACGTTGAACACCCAGCGAGTGACTGCAGTTCCCACGGGGACATCCCCAGCCCCGCAAGCAGAGCTGGACGGCAACCTCCAGCCATGCAAACGCAGAAATAACGTGCTTCAAGCACACCTCCGAAAAACGCGCAACAGTTTATGCTCTGTCCCATGTGCTTTGCCCTGCCAATAAGTACACAGTACCACAGCACGCTACTGTTAATTAGCGTTAACACTTGCAACTGAAAGCAACCTGAAAGCATCACACATCCAAACCCTAAGGAACTCAAGCATCTATCTCCTGTAAGCACTTTCAAAAGAAAAACCAACCAAACACGTACTCCTCAAATGCAAAACTCTGCAGTGGAGGTGCACATTCTTTTGCATGGTAATTATAGGCAGAGGACTATGATTCTAGGGTTAGATGATTAAAAGGCGCACCAGAAAAGAGCTGAGAGAGACGACCTTCATTCCACCAGTCTTGTGATTTTTGGCATCGCTCAAAAGCACACATAAAAGCCAGGAGAGGACCTCCCTACTAATAAAGACCAGACAAGATAATATTTCTGCAGTCTTCTTTCAAATTCACTGAAGAGCTAAGTTTGGGAAAGGTTATGGCGCCTGGAAGGTCCTCCGCCTAGGCACAGCACATCTGGGGTAAAAACAGGTTTGCATGTCCCCGTACGACTTTATTTTGAGGGAAGACCTCGAGCACCGCTGTGTTCTGCCACAGAAGCAAACGCTTTCATGAATGAGCATTTCAAGAAGACAAAGATGCTTTAACCCAGGTCAACTGTTTAACAACACTGGAAGTCCACTTGAGCATATCCTCTGGCAAGCAGGGAAGCATAGTTTTTTTGCAGCAGCCCTTCTTGAAGAAGTGTCAGCTTTAACAAATTCCAGATCCAGAGGACAAAGCCATAGCAGATACCTCCATCCCACCAAAAGCAACCTTCTCCAAAACCAGCAGCCTCACGGGTAACAGTGCACAGATGTTGCTTTAGTACTATGGCCTCCATGCCTGGACTCACCGACCTGGCACGAAAGAATTCAGCCTTTTCATTAAAAGATGCCACAGCCTGTTTTGAGTCAAGTCAGTGTGCGAGCAGAGCTGCTGCTGCTTGACCCTTCTTTACTCTCCAGTGGTGTCAAATCAAAGGTGCCATTTGGCACCCACACAACGTCAGCGCCCCAGGTTAGGACAACCTTCTCCACAACTAAATGTACCTATTTATTTCTGTAGAACCAACCGAGCAACTAGGTCACCTCTGATAGTAGTGGGAAGACCTGGAACCTGCTAACAGCGCAGTGATTTCCCTCCAGACTTAAAAAATAAAGAAAATTTAAAAAAAAAAAAAAATATTGAAAATCTTACCATGCATTGCCTAAGTCTGAGGAGTAGCATATGATTTCAATCCAGGAAAGTAGATTTTTAGCCCTATCACACTTAATGAGAGTGGCTCTGCAACAAGCTCAGGTTCTGCAGCCTTAGCCACAGAGGTGGACTGCTTGTGTACTCTACACACAGCTTTTGCACTAACATATACATGCTCTGAGAGAGTATTTTGAAAGATTAGTATGTGCCTTTGCATGCAAGCAACTACACCGACAGCACACTCTTCTATTGATTTTTGATATTCCTTTGCATTTATGGGAAGCGTATGGACACTAGGCACTGTCCTGACTTAAATACATCCATGTAGCTATCGTGCTGTTAAAACAGCCCAAGAAATACACAAATAAATGACTGTCACCGCTCACCTAGACCAGTTTAGGAGACGCTTCCAAACCCACAACGCACGCTGCACAGGACCAGCTACAAGTTTTTGTGCGCTAGAGGGAAGAGCAACAACAACAACAAAAAAATGTCAGCACAACTAGCGAAAACCCATTGATAAAAAGCACCACATCCACTTGACCGGGAGCACTAAAAGCATGACACCAGACCATTTTTCCCCCCATTAATTTAACCTTCCCCCCCTCCTTTCTCCCTTAATCTCCTTTGTCTGGGGCTGCCCTGCTCCATCCCCTGCCCACCTCACAGGGGCGGCTTGGCAGGCTGGAGGTCAGCATGAAATCCTCCCCGCCCCTGGCCCCCTAAAAGGCCTATATTTGATTACAACACTATATGATGTCACGTATCCAAGACAACTAAAGGCATTACGGTCTCCCGGGGACAAAACTGCCTCTCGGCCATAGATTTCGGCAAACCGGGACCCGTTGTCTGCAGAGGAGAAGAGCGGGCAGCTGCATCCCCCCCACCACCAATAAAGCACCCAGAGATGCTCCCAGGGGCAGCACCCATGGCTTTTGGGGCCCTTCCCGCTCCTCCGGGCTTGCAAAGGCAGAGGAAATGAAAAATAACCCATTAAAAAGGTGGCTATTGGGTTCTTGAAGCCAGCCTGGAAGAAAAAAAAACCCAAACAAACCAAGAAACAACCAAGGACCAGACAAGTCTTTTTTAACAACAAAACAAAAAGGGTTAAGAAAACCAATGAAAAGGTCCAATATTAGCAGAAGTTAAGAAATGCTGCAAAATTTTAAAAGGGGAAGGGAATAAACCCTTATTGTAGGCAGGGAGTGACAGAAAGAGATTTCATCTGAGATCTCATTTGTACAGAAAAAGTTTTCATTTTTTTTTATTAAGTACACATATACACACACACAAGCGGGTTTTGTGATTGAAACAAATATCTGACACGAAAATGATATGTAACTCCAACATGCCCAGACCCCATCCAGACCCTGTGCATGGCCCTGAGCCTTTTGGGCCATTTATTCCAGCGCTACCTGCAGGGACTTAGCAATCGTGAGGCCTTTCCAAAGGCTGCGGTCACTGTTGGACAAGATTCCCTGGGCCTCAGTTTTAAAACATGCACGCGAAAACAGTCTAACAGAGAAATTGAGAAGTGAAAAAAAAAAAACAAACAACAACCACCCAGCAGTTTTTCTATTAAGAAAAACCCTCTGTGTCACAGAAAGGGAGGGGAAAAAAAAAAGGTGCTTTTACGAAAAATGCTTTACTGCCAATAGTAGCTTTTCAATAGACGCCTTTGGGTCATGTTCCTTAAATTCAGTACATTGCTTGCTAAGTGGACTAAAATGCAAAAAAAAAATGTAAGCCATTGATATGTTCACAAGCGAGCCATTTGAGCAAATGCCTTCCAAAATAATTCTGATGCTAATCCCCTTTCCAGGGTAACCATTCCACGTGTTTCTCTGCCATCCTCTTGAAATAGAAGTGAATATAGCTACATTTCAGCTGGTGTCAGTGACAATTTACCAACACTAGAAAACATAATTCTATCTTTTCCATCCAGCTTTTCTGCCTTCTTCATCCTTAAAGTACCAGAACTCCCGATTTGCAGCTGAAAACCAAACACTTTGCACCAAGTGACCCTTCTGCAAGATTTAATTTAAAAGTACCATTGGAGCTGTACCACAGAGCCACCACAACATTACCAGTACAACTTCATCACCATGAAGCTGTCCCCAGTTGCGGTTTCCCAGCTCCTGCTCCTGGAGTGCAGGTCTCCCTCCAGAGCCCCGGGGATGGCAAAACGATGCTCTTCACCATGCTGACCTCTCCGGCCAACTCACTCTTAATTTTACACCACAACTGTTGAACTTGGCTTTCTGTTTCAAAAAGAATTATCTTTTCTTGTGTATGGTGACCCCACACTGGAACAACTGGACCAAGCAGGTTTCTTGGATAGAAAAATGGCCCAGTTTAATCATACAGGGTCTGTATATTGAGGTACACCTTCAGATGGAAGGCTACAAGTTTCTCTGAACACAGAAGAAAGGTGCCCATGCTAGAGAAACTAGACCATCAAAGTACAAGGTGCCATCTGACACTTCTCACATGGCATGGTCAAAAGCCCAGAAGCATACTGGCTCATACTTTTGACTACTCAACATCCCTAAACCAAACCAAACCGGCTGATTAACTGGTCTGGTGATGGTCCTCACAGACCAGAGGATGAGGGATGAGTGATGGCTGCTGCTGCTTGGCAGCAAGCTTCCCAGCTCCTGCTCACCCAGCTCTACTTTGTGCGAGTTTTCCCAGTCACCGAGTTCCCTCCGCATCCGCTAATTAGCTTTTAGGCGATCATATACTTGCCCCAAATCCAAGCACAATGCCATCCAGTGAGAGTGTTAAAAAAGGAAGCCAGCAAGGGACCACACATGAACTGGGAAACTAAAAGTAGATACAAACCACAAGACAGGAATAAACTGAAAAGAATTTGAGAGAAGAAACAAAGCCTGAGCTTTACCATCCAGGTAAGCTGCTCCCAGAGATGGGCTTTGGAAATACATCCAGACACACATCACGAAGTCCACAATAAAAACGCAATGGCAATTGGTATGATGCATGCTGGTGGGACAGGCAGATGCATAAGCAAAATAACAGGAGGATGGAGTCATCATCCTGGGTACCACCCACCCAGAACTTAGTATCTGGAAAATGCGGTCACATCAATAAAGTCCAAGGTACCCAATGATGCCATTCAAGGACCCATGGAGGCATGCGGGTCTGCAGCTGTAATGCAGAGACCAGTTTCGCCACCGGCTGTCAACCTGATCCCAGCCCAGCGCCGTGCTTCGAACCCGTCGTGCCAGCGAGCTCAGAGAAACGAAGTTACCCACCTTAGACCACAACCGCCATCCCGCGAGGCAGACAAGGTACACAGGTACTACTGACCCAAGTAAACTGTATCAGGATTTTCCGCCGGCAGGAACTGGGTGAAAACACTTAAAACTTATAATCTAACCCTTACAGAGGGTACAGAAGGGCAAGTGGGGGGGGGCAATTGCTGCAGCAGCAGCAGCCACCAATTTAACAGAGTCCTTAACACACCCTAACCTTTGAGGAAAAAATAGGGAGCTCTAAGTCTAGTTGGAACGTAGCAGAAAAAAAAAATTCAACACACTCGAGGAAAAGAAAAAAGTGTCAAAATCCACATTGCTGACTTTTAGCATAAATCTTCTTATTTGCACAAATTCCAAGCCTCTCTTAAAATGGTCCTGGTACACCAGCAGCTGTTTGGTAGCAGGGATGTTCCTACCCCAGACACAGCAGCTAGCGAGGCTTCCCGGGTACCGACCGCGCAGCACTGAGAATCTCTCCACAGCACTCTCCAAAAGCGAGCGTGACCCAACCCTCGTGCTTCCGCAGCCGTAACGTTTTACAGGCAAGGCGGCAAGGTACCGGCTCATAAAGCCGCTGGCCGGCATCAGACAGCGCTTCTCCCACTTGCTGACTTTAATTGTATTTTGCAAATACGCTGGAGCATCGCTCTGCGCTCTTCCCCAGCACAGTGAGGACGGGATGGAAAGTCCACCATCACACAGTGTGCACTAAGTCAGAAGGAACGTGTAATATGACAGGGAACGAATAAACATGTATCACACATAAAGGCCCAGCCAGAAAAAAAAAAGGGAAGCAGCATATCAGGGTTTTCTTGTTTCACTTGTGGGTGCCTTCTCTGGGAGCCAAGGAAGCTGCTGGATCTGGGAAGAGAGGCACCACACGCACCCAAAGTGACCCTCTGGGTTGCTGCACTGGGATGAGGACGGGGTTTGCAACCTGCAAGCGCACGCTTGTCGAGAGGCAAAGCTGCGCGCTGACGTGAGTCACCCCGCGCCGCTGACAGTGGCGTCTCGGCGCAGGAAGTTGCCCAACACCATCGCGCTTGCCGAGCGGTGAGGGCACAGGCGGTAGGATGAGGCACTTGCCGCCTCCATCTACTTCCCTCAAAAGAGTTATAACCAACGCGGTGACATCCTATATACGAGCTTATACACAATACGGCTCATTAACGGGAGGGGCAGGAAAAGCAACAGCCATAAAAAGAAAACTCAAGGAGCCGAATGGAATAAAATGGGCAGAATTTACACCTGAGCTAAAAGGTAGTGAGTACGCACCACACCTTCCGCACAGCTACAACCTTCACGTGCAAAACGGCCGCTTTTCATTTGATTCACAGCCGGGCCAGGAACGTTGTATTTTGTACAGCTCGTTTTGCACCGCGGCGGTGCGGTAAGAATACCCCGTTGAAGGGAATGGCGTAAGAGATACACAGCAGCGGCGGCTGTGGGCACACCATCGCCTCTCCCAACACCCCTGCTTTCTGTCACCCTGCCGGCGGTACTCCCACTGCCCGGCTCGTCCTGATAAGGTGACGCAAACCTGCATTTGGAAAAAGTCTTCTGAGTGCCTGGGGTGTTTCCTCCCGTAAACACAGTTTCCTTTGAACCCCAATGAGTAGCCAAGGAGCGACAACAGGGGAGGAAGGAGGAATCGCAATCCCAGTGAAACCAGCATCAAAACTTCAGTTGTTCTTATGGGAACCAACATTTCTGAACGCAAACTGCATCACTTTCTCACCAGTTTAAACTACAGCATCTTCAGGCACCAAACTATCTCGCTCAACCAAGAGAGTTTGCCTTTGCTCAGCATGTCAGGTTTGCAAGCCAACTATGTTGAGCAGGCAGAGCCTGCGCTTAATAAAGATGGTAAAAATGAGCCTGACATGCCCCTAAGCCTCTGTCTTCTTTCCCAGGCCCTACACTCGCTCACCAGGCAGTCCTTTTTCTTGTTTGACAGGACCATTACACATCCCTGTATCTGCTCCGTTACTTACTGGACTGGCACGTCCTGACACTGAGATAGTTGCTGGCAATGCTGGCGCCTTCCATCCCAAGCTCCCCAGAGGACACGGGAAGGCTCCTCAAGCAGAAAACCTGTGCTGGTTGGAGCTGTTGAGGCAGCACGCTCCTCGCTTGGTGTCCCTTTTGGATAAAGAAAGATGTCTTACACTTCTGGGCTAAGCAATCTCTGCGGAGCTCCTCCAGCACAGCCTCAGTGGCAGCACCCAGAGGGGTCACAACTTCATCCTCCGGCCAAGACTCTGACAAGGAAGACATCAACCAGGTTTTATTCCAGCGAGGTCCCTGAGACCACTGAGGGCCACACGCCTGAAGCGATACGGGGTCGGTGCTTCCAGCTCCCTTCAGCCCCCTGCTCTCCAGGGCAGCGCCACGGCTACAGCCACCACAGCATCTCTCCCACTCTCCGCAACCCTAAACACCGTGTACAGTGACACCCCTCAGCTTAGGGGGCGTCTGGGGAAAAAGGAAAAAAAAAATAAAAATACTAAGAGTACAGAAAAGTGCCATTCATATTTTAGGCAACTCAAACCTACAAAGTGGGAATGACGATCTCCTCCCTATTTCTGCAAAACTCGAGTCATGCAGCTGGACACAAGCAGGGCCCTGGCAGAAGCCAAACCGCTGCTCAGAAACAACATAGCCCAGCACTCAGCTACGTTCATTAGCTCAAGGTCGGTGCCACGTTAATTGATACTACATAGCTTTCAGTTGAGAGCTGATGTGTCCAGCTATCTTCTGCGGAGCTTGGAAAATGTGAGTTGGCACCTGCCAAGAATAAAAAATACATTAAAAAAAAAAAGACAACTGCAAATGAGTTCAAGTTTTCTGACATAAGATAACGCCAGTTTAATTTATCTTGCGTAGACGTAGCATCACAATGGACTGCTAGGACGTAAAAAAAGACCCCAAACCAAGAAACCCAAGAGAAGTTCAGCGATTCACACATCAATATGGTACAACCCACCCACTACCAAGGTCCACCTAAATGCAAGTCCGCCAATAACAAGATTTGGAGAGAGAGAGTGTGTGTGTGTATATAGAAAGAGAGTATAGTACACATAAAATTATCTTGATTTCACAGGTTAGCCACAAACCTATTGAAGTTACCTTCACAGCATTCAAGTCCAACACTAATTGCGCATTTTTAACTTTATATTTTGCACATAACGCCCATCCCTGGGCAGGCACCCAGGCAGGGAGGTGAGTTTCTTGGGCCCACGCTCGAGGTTACTCCTTATTTTCTCTTTTGGAGATTGGGGTTTTTTTGTTTGGGTTTTTTTTTTGTTTGTTTTTTTTTTTTACTCTTTGTCCTCTTTACTCTTTGTTTGGGCCTCATCAGAATCCAAACCTTTACAAACAAAAGCCAGTTTTCCCTGCCCAGTATCAAATGGGAGACCGGGAGCACCTGCGGGTCCGGGCCGGAGGCGGCCAGTGGGACTCTGCTCCTCCGCCGCCCAACTCCACCAACCCCCCACCCCAAAATA